GTGTGTGTGTGTGTGAGAGAGAGAGAGAGAGAGAGAGAGAGAGAGAGAGAGAGAGAGAGGATGGTGACAGATGGCAACAGTCCTTGGGAGGGGAGTTCTGTCCTTCTCAGAGCTCCCAGCTCCAGACATCACCTGTCAGTCTGTCTGCTTTCTGTCTGTGCCCCTTCTAGGAGGGGGTGGGCAGAGCCGCTGTCCGTCTTGCTCCCGACTCTGCCCTCGGGGCCTGGAACCTGGCCCATAGTAGGTGCTCAGGAAATGTTTGCCAAACAGATGGCAACAGTCCTTGGGAGGGGAGTTCTGTCCTTCTCAGAGCTCCCAGCTCCAGACATCACCTGTCAGTCTGTCTGCTTTCTGTCTGTGCCCCTTCTAGGAGGGGGTGGGCAGAGCCGCTGTCCGTCTTGCTCCCGACTCTGCCCTCGGGGCCTGGAACCTGGCCCATAGTAGGTGCTCAGGAAATGTTTGCCAAAGCGGGTGGGAAGGGGCTGTGCCCGGGGCGGGGGCGGGAAGGGAGCATGGAAATGACGGCCCGGGACAACTCACGGCTGGCTTGGAACACTCGGACTTTGTCCATCTCGGACTTGGCCACGTGGAGCACCAGCTGGTGCTTGGAGAAGAAGTCCGGGGGCGTCCGCGTGCTCAGCGTCACCAGGGACATGTCCTGCACGTCTGGGGTGAGAAGGTGTGGCCTGAGACGCGGGCCCCGGAGCCCTGCCCTCCCCGCCCCACCAGTGGACGCCCTTTGCCAGGCCACCTGGCTTTATGTGCTTTATGCCCTTCCCAGGAGTTAAATGATGTTTTTTATTTTGGAATGAAAGCTGATGCTCTTATCCCACCAGGATGAGCTTCGGCGGTAAGCCCAGCCAAGCCGCAACCTTATGAATCTCGCTCACGGCTCTGTCCCCAGCCCTCAGAACCGAGACAACCTGGCAGCACCTAGAACAATGCCTCGCAGGGGCTGGCTACTATTTGTGGGATGAATAAGTGGAAAGGGTTGTCCCCTGGGCCTGAGCGGGAAGCCAAGTCTGTGAACCACGCAGAACCAACGCCCACAAGGCGTGCGGAGAGCCGAGCTGACAATAGTCACGGGCACTGGGAGGGGCGGGCTCAGGGGAAGTTATTTCAGCTCCCGGCACCTGTTTCCTCATCGGTAAACAGGGCTAGGAGCAGTGCCCACCCAGAGGGAAGGGTGAGGTCATCTGCGTAACGGGCTTATGACAGCGCCCAGGTCCTGGGAGTGCCCACAAAGGTACCGGCTGCCTGTGTGCGGGCACCGGGCACAGGCTGCCCCCGGCATCAGGCCAGGCCACCTGCATGCATCTGTTCCTCTGCTATCCTACCACTTCCCCGGGAAGGCCACAGCCGCTCCCCTCGCTGGCCAGTCTCACCTGCTTAGCACCCTTCTCCAGGCACGGTGGGCAATGTGCCTTCGGCCTGCCACACTTCAGAGGTGTGCCGGCTGAGATCCTGCCCCATCACCATCCCTGTGCCCCTAAACCAGGCCTGGTGTCAGGATGCCCAGGTTCAAATCCTGAGCCTGCGACTTACTAGCTGTGTGACCTTGAGGAAATTGCTTACCTCCCCCATGCCTCGGTTTCCCCATCTGTGAAGTGGGGAGGAAGACAGTACAGACTTCTCAGCCTGTGTAAAAGGATCGAATGAATGTGTAATTCTGAGTTGTCCGAGCAGGGACACGCACACGCAGGGCCTCGGGGCTGCTCGGACCTGAGTTTGGGGAAGCAGCCAGGCTTTCCTTTCGAATTATTTCGGGCCCCAGTTTTGACCCAAAAGCAGAAATTTGGGTTGAGTAGCATGTGGGGGGCATGGAAACCGGGGCCTGGAGGAGGCGTTGGGGCTCAGTGCAGTGTTGCTCCCAATTCCTCTCTGGCTGCTGTGTGGCCTTGGGCAGGTCACTTGCCCTCTCAGGACCCTTGTCCATTCCTTCTCCTAGACTGTGGACACCCCAACAAGAACTCCCCCCCAATAGTCCCCATTTCTGAGGGCGGGTACAGGCTCGGGACAACGGGCCCCATTCAGTGACGAAGCTCTATTCCCATAGCTCTCGGGGGCCTTTACCTGCTCCGTCAAGCACCTGGTCATCTGTGCAGTCCATGGCGGAGGTGTGGGGGTTGTCCCTGTCACAGTTCACCAGCAGGATGGCGCCTTGCCCGCGTGGGCCCCAGGTCCAGGTGCTCTGTGGACACCCAGCAGAGACGGGGCACCCTCAGAACCTGTGTGTGTCCCTGCGGCTCCTGGGGAGGCAGAGCCACCCGTTCCCAGCATCTCAGGGCCTCGCACCCTTCACATCTCTTGCTCCCACACTAGGTCCTTCTTTGGTCCCCCAGAGCGGATTTTTGCCCTGAAAGTCATGAGCAAGTTCACCAAAAATGCAATCCACCCACTTTAAACAAGGAGCCCAGGACAGTACAACTCATTTTAACAGCCTTTGAACCCGGTCTCGGATTGGCAAACCAAACTGAGCTGCGTATCTGTGCCAAGATTCTAATCTAAATAGTTACTCTTATGCGAACTTTTAGTGACTCACCCACCCAAGTATGGGCACTATTCTTAGCAGCCAGTGACTGTCTGGGGAAGATTAAAGCGCATTAGGCCGCCCCTCGGGGCGGGGGGCTGGTAGCCCTGATGTCTTTTGTTGGTGGGAGAGCGGTGGAGCTCCGGGAATGACTGCGTGTGGGGTGGGGACAAGATGGATTCCACCCGAACCAACAAAGGGATCTTAAGCCTTTGACGGGTCATTTCCTCTTGATGGGAACACAGCATCAGGCAGCTCTGCGGCCTCGGGGCCACCCTGGGGTCTATCCATGCACCCCACTTAAGACTCCCCTCACCTACAGGCACCACCCCCCTCTCTTTCCATAACAGACATTCCTGGCCCCGCCTGCCCGGCGCCTTCCCACCCCTGCCCTGCGGGTTCTTCCTTTCTCTGTCATTCCCCCGACGTGGGCAGCATCATGGGACTCTCCCTGAACGGGCATTAAAGACTTTTGTGCCTGCAAAGCTTCCTCTCTTCTGCGCATTCATTGAGTGATTCTGGTTTCCAGTTTGTGGGGCAACACATTCTCTGAATTCTCTGAATTCACAGCCAGTGAAAAACCTAGCTTTGTAGAAGAGGTGGGAAATACCTAAACCAAAGTGATAATGGTGTTTTGAATTCCTTTCTTTTTCTTGTTCTTCCAGTGAACACGGGATTATGTGAGACAGACCGCCAGCCATCCCATCGCCACCAGGGGGCGCCAGAGGAGGGCCCAGTGGAGTTGCAGGGAGCGCTTTGCCTGTCAGTCAAGGTTGGGGTACCTGGTTCTTCCCAGCTTTGGTGGGCTTCACTTTGCCGGTGCGGGTGACGTCCGCGCTCAAGGTGATTTCTGAAATCCACCACGTGAGAGGAGAGGGTTGGTGAGGGTACAGGGTAGGGGCACCCAGCCTGACCCCCATGGACACTCCTTTCCCTAGGAGACCCTCTACACCAGTGGTTCTCAACCTTCCTCATGCCGCGACCCTTTAATACGGTTCCTCATGTGGTGATGACCCCCAACCATAAAATCATTTTTATTGCTACTTCATAACTGTCATGTTGCTACTGTTATGAGTCCTAATGTAACCATCTGATATGCAGGATGTCTTTTCATTGTTACAAATTGAACATAATTAAAGCATCGTGATTAATCACAAAAACAATATGTCATTATATATGTGTTTTCCGATGGTCTTAGGAGACCCCTGTGAAAGGGTCGTTTGACCCCAAAGGGGTCGCGACCCACAGGTTGAGAACCGCTGCTCTACACCGAGGCCTCGCTCTCTCCCTTCAGGGGAGGCACAGGTTCAAAGACACCCTTGGAAAGGCCGGAGCGCGCGAAGTCTGCCTGCAATCCGGACAGCAGAGCTGGCGCCCCTGACCACACGTCTTCTCCTTTGGGGCACCCACCACAGCTGTGATGCCACCCAGACCCTTGCCTGTGCAGCCGCCCTCAGGGGTTTCCCAAGAATTCCCAGCCCCCCAACTCCAGCCACCGGCAACCCTGGGTGGAGGACGCAGTGGTCACTTCAACCCCACCTGCTCTTTTGTGACCCCCTGGGAACAAATCATGGCCCAAGCACACTGGTCTCTGTCCAAGTGGAAGCATATGTCTGTTTCTACATTCTTCCTCCCTCGTCAGACCACATGACTGCACTGTCATTCATTCATTCAGTGACACGGAGCTGTGATGTAGCGACCTCGGGAGCTCACAGTGCGAGATCCACCCAGATGGTCTTTTAAACACATCCCTGTGTTACTGTGGGGCCAGGGCAGCAGGTGCTTAGGGGCCAGGACGTCCCTGCTCCTTCACGAACTGGCTGAGTGACTCTGGGCAACAGTTTTCTCATCCGTAAAATGGGATCATTGTAACAATTTCATTGGATTGTTGTAAGGTTTAAATGTAAAGTCTTAACACAGTGCCTGGTTTATAAGAGCTAGTGCTTTATCATTATCATTATTATTATTAACATGTGTATCCATGAAATAAATGTGTAATAATGAATGAACTTCATTAATGAAATGAAACCTGAAGGTTTCAGATACAGTCCATACATTTAATGCACATTTAAATAATAATAATGTCATTATGTTACTGTTCAAGATTTAGAAATATGCTTTAATTAAAGAAGAATATTAAATAAATAGGAGTCTAGGTAGATCATTGATATGGCAAATATAATGAGATGCCAACAATGGAATTTCAGGAACACTGGTGTATATTACTGCATAAGACAATATCATCATCCACATTTAAAAAAAATAAGTAGTTGACGTGTCAAAAAGATAAGAGACTCAAATATTGAAAATCTGTGCATCATCTCCTAAGTTGAGAAACGAAATATTAAGAGCTGAACTTCCTGCAACGCCCTCTCTCCCCAGTTGTACCTTCTGTGGCTCCCTGACTGAGGAGGGAAGATTTGTGAGCCACCAGCTATGTGGTTGGGTAGAAGTTGTGTCTCTTCTCTGCTCAGTTTAAGTAAGCTCCTATGGGAGGGGGAGGGGTCCCAATCACTTACCCACCCCGGTGAGGTAGAGCAGCGCGTGGACTGGGTTGGTCTGGGGTCCGTAGTATGAAATCTGAACCTATGGGACAGCAGGAAACCACTCATGACGTCTCTTAGTCATTCAACAAACACGAACTGCCCCTGGCTGTGTGCCTGATCAGGGCAGGATGCTGAGGAGACCAGGATAGGCAAGAAGTGGTCTCAGCCCTAAGAAGCACCCCAGCTGGTGGGAGTGGAGTGGTAGCAACACACTCAAATGCATAGACGGGGGTCCTATGGGAGCCCAGAAGTTGGGGGGCTCACGCTGCCTGGGTGTGACAGGGAGGTACATATTGAGGTAGATCTAAGAGGAGCAGCTGGAGACGTGGTGGAAGAGGCGTGAGAGGGACAGTGCAGGTGACAAGCCACGGAAACTGGCTCTGTAAGCGGAGAGGTGGAGGAGACCCGGAGAGCCAGACCTGGCTGTACCCAGCTCCCCGAGGGTCGGGGAGCAGGCGCTGTGGATGGGTGTGGTCTCTTCAGGGCAGGTGCCATCCTGAGTAAGAAACACCGGCCCTCACTGCCCAAAGTCCAAAATCCAGGACAAACACATCTGATTGGCTCGGCCACGCCTGAGGAGGGCGGGGCATCAGGATGGACACTCCCAAGCTAAATGGCGGAGGGCAGTGTCCCAAAGCCAGACCAAGGAGCTGCCACTAGAGGAAGGATCCATCCTGTAGACAGTGGGGATCCAGGGAAATGTCACAGCCCCTGTCACCTCATGTCTGGACCGCGGCGTCAGCCTCTAGTCTACTGCCTGCATCCAATCTACTCACTACACTGTAGCCAGTGGGGTTGTTCGAACACACAAATGCAGCCTTGCTACTCCCTGGATGACATGGTTTCCTTGGCTTCCTGTTGCCTTCACAAAGAGATGTCCCTGATGGAAACCCTTTAATACTGGCTTTCTGTCTCTCTCCCCACCCCCTTCCTTTCCACTCTCCCTGCTCACCATCCAGATCTTTCCTAGATTCTGCAATATGAGTCTCACCCTCTCCTCACCCAGAGAGAACACACAGGCCACATCCCCTATCTAGAGCTCTTACTCTTCTTTCCTTCTCTCTGGTAGGTCACTCAGACCATTCTTCAGCTTGCCACTTCCTCCGGGAAGTTTTCCCTGATTGCACCCTCCCCAACTTGCTTTGTTACCCAAGCTGTTTGCTCCTACAGCAAACAGCAACTCTCTGCCTCAGCGGGGAGCCTGCCAGGCCTGTCCTGCTGGGAGAACAAATGGTCCTTGGCCCAGCCCTCCGTGGGAACCCCAGAGGGTCTTGTTGAGCCCATCTACAGCCAATGAGGGTGCAGTGGTAAATGGTGGTGCCTCAAAAGATACGTCCACATCCTAATCCCTGGAACCGGTTAAGTGTGGCCTTATTTGGAGAAAAGATCTTTGCAGATGTAATTAAGGACCTGGGGATGAGGTCATCCTGGCTGGCTGGCTGGGGGAGGCCTTAAATGCAGTGATGAGAGAGAAACAGGCAGGTGTGACAGAGTAACGAGGAGGCAGTGTGACCACAGAGGCCGAGAGTGGAGCGCCAGCAGCCACCAGACACCGGGAGAGGCAAAGCCACAATTCTCCCTAGATCCTCCAGAGACAGCGTGGCCTGGCGACAGTTGGATGTCTGATGTCTGTCCTCCAGCACAGTGAGGGGATACGGTTCTGTTGTTCTAAGCCACCAGTTTGTGGTACAGCAGCCACAGGAAACGAAATACGTCATCATGGACCAGCGTTTCCTGGGGCTGCCTGGCTGCGGGCTTCATAGCGCTCACCACCATCTGTAACTGCTAACCCATACAGTATCCGATACCCTCACCCATAGGTTGTAAGCTCCGTGAAGGTGGCAGCCTCCCCTGCCTTGTTTATTTCTGTATCTCCAGTGCCTGGCAGCGCTTGGCATAGAGTAGGTGACTACGAAACATTTGCTGAATAAGTGAATCTCATCAGAACCCTCGCCTATCAATAACCCCCGGGCATCCCTATCTTGTCTGTGAGGACGCCATGGCTGGCATGAGCCATCGTGCGCTTTTTCAGAGAGATGGAAGCCCGCCCAGGGCTGGGCTCTGGGTCGATGAGGGCAGACTGTGGGGAGCTGACCTGCTGGCTTCCTCCCACCCAGCCCGCCCCACAGCGGCCGCACTCACCTTCCGGTCACCCATGCTGCTGCTGGCAGCTGTCATCCTCAGGCTCACCTCCAGCCCGGGGTCCAGGGGCCACTTGGAGGAACCTGTGGGATTCTTCTTGGCTGGAGGGCTGTGGGCAACATCCACAACCACCCCCGGGGAGGCGTTGATGCTGAAGAATGTGCAGCCCGGGGGGGCAGAGCTGTGAGAGGCGCAGACAGGGAGGACAGAGAGGCAGGGTCAGACAGTCTGGTCACCACAGCTCTCCGCAGCAGTTTTCCTTTCCCCAAAGAGCGCCCACACCAGAGATCAGCCAGTCTGACCCTGACCGCGGGAGGTTGTCAGGAGGTCATGAGAAATAAAACGAGTCCCCTCGTCCAGAGGGCGTGCCCTGGAACTAGGGAAATTGCAGAGAGATGTGCACAGCAAAGACACACACAGAGATGTGTGCATGGAGCAGCGTGCACTCCCCGAGGTTTACTCTCCACAAACACACACAGGGTTGTGCCCAAGCAAAGAATCAGACGGACTTCTGCTTCTGGAATGACGGCAGGCCAGGACTCTGAAGGGCCTTCGTTTTTGAAAAACAACTGGATCTGGCTAAAATGTAATTTTTTAGAACATGGCTGTGGTCATGAGAAGTCAGGAAAATCTCCAAGGACTCCCTTCTCTGCACACATACGCAACTCAGTAGTTAAACTGAAGAACACCAAAGACAAAGAGAAGATCTTAAAGGTATCCAGAAAGAGAAGCCAGATCGCCTATGAAGGAATAACAATCAGGCTGAGAGCAAACTTCCCCATAGCAACAATGAGGTCCAGCAGACCACTGAATAATATCTTCGAAATAGATATTGAAAAAATAACTATCAGCTTAAGCTTAGAATTGTGTACATGACCAAATTATATTTTAACAAAGACATTTTCAGGTGAAGAACTGATATTTTAAAACCAGCACACTTTCACCAAAACAATTTCTAAGGACATACTTTAAGAAGAAGATATCGGAGGCCAGAAGCATGGTCTGACAGGCAAGAAAGAATGGTGAGCAAATAAAATGGTAAGTATACAGTTTGTCTGTATAAAAACCGTTTTTCAAATATCAAAATGGCAGCCCCGGCTGGTGTGGTTCAGTTGGTTGAGCATTGTCCCATGCACTGAAAGGTCACTGGTTCAATTCCAGGTCAGGGCACCTACCCAGGTTGTGGGTTTGATCCCTGGTTGGGGTTTGTGTGGGAGGTCTTTCTCTCTCTCTAAAGTCAATAAAAACATTTTTAAAAATATCACAATTGTGGTATTAACAGTGTTTAATTCTAGATTTTATAGAGTTAAAATTTTATGATTAAATTTAAATAGTAAAGAATGGAATTCATGAAATTCTACACATGCAGAAAATACAATAATAAAAAAGAACAGAAACATTCCACTCAAAAAGGCAATAAAAGAGCAAAAGATAACATAGGGGGAAAAACAAACAAATAAAAATAATGGTAAAAGCATATCCAACCTGGCTGGTGTAGCTCAGTGGTTGAGTGTTGACCCTTAAACCAGGAGGTCATGATTCGATTCCTGGTCAGGGCACATACAGGCTCAGCCCCTAGTAGGGGGCATGCAGGAAGCAGCTGACCAATGATTCTCTCTCATCATTGATGCTTCTATCTCTCCCTCTCCCTTCCTCTCTCTGAAAATTAATAAAAATATTAAAAAACATATCCACACGTATAAATAGTCAAAATAAATGAAAATGGATTAATGTTAACAGTTAAAAGAGAGTTTGGGATTAGATAAAGAAACAATAGCTATATGCTATTTATAAGAGACACCCCTAAAATATAAGGATCCAGAAAAGATGAAGTACATTAATCCAATACGAACCAGAGAGAGCTGGGGCGGGCATATTAATACCAGACAAACAATGCACTGTTAGCAATAGGAAGATCTCAACCAAAGAATGAGATTCAACTCACCTAGAAGATACTCTAAACCTGTATGTACCTAATAACATAGCTCAATAGATACAAAAAGTAAGCCTTAGTAGAAATACAGGGAGAAGTTGACAAATTCGCCATCATAGTTGAAGATTTCAACTCCCCTTTCTCAATTAACAATAGATTAAGCAGACAGAAAAGGGACACGAGTAACAAACTCGATTTAGGAGACATATATAGAATTCTGACCCCACAACTAGTGAATATGCACTTTCCCAAGCAAAGCACACATGGATCACTAAAAAATATATATATAACCGCCCTAGCCAGTTTGGTTCAGTGGATAGAGCGTTGGCCTGCAGACCGAAGGGTTCCAGGTTCGATGCCTGGGTTCGGACTCAATCCCCAGTAGGGAGCGTGCAGGAGGCATAACAAATTTATTTCATTTAACAAATATGAAAGGACAGGTAACATATGGTGTAGGTAGCATATTCTTTCATCACAGTCTAACGAGTCACTAACCCAACCCAGTCCAAAGCCCATCTCAGTGGGACCCGCACCACCGAATCCTTTCCCCATCACTCCGATCCAGCGGGGTTTCTTCCTCTGGGTGAGATTTCTCTCTGCAGGAGAATCACAGCACCCCGAAGATGACTACGTATCAACCCCCAGAACCCATGCATATGTCATCTCACAGGGAAGAGAGGACTTGCGAATGTGATTAAGGATCTGGAGATGGGGAGAATATGCTGGATTATTTGGGGGGGCGGGGAACCAGTGTAACCACAAGGGTCTCTAGAAGAGGGGGCGGGCGGGGCAGAGTGAGAGGAAATGGGTGATGTAAGCAGAGGCCACGGTGATGCATTGTTGGAAGGGGCCATGAACGGAGGATGCAGGTGACCTCCAGGAGCTGCAGAAGGAAGGAGTGGATTCTCTCCGCCTCCACAAGGGCACACAGCCCTGCCGACACGCTGGCTTTAGCTCCGTGAATTTTAGCCCCGTGAGACCCATTTTTGAACTTCTGGTCTCCCAAACTGGAAGATCATACATTTGTTTTTTGTCTTTTGTTTTTTTTCAGTTTTATTGAGAGACAGCATTTTAAGCAACTAGATCTGTGGTAACCTCTTACAACAGCAATCGGAAACCGCACACCCTCCCTTCCCGCACTTCTGCCTTAGGGGTTCTCTCATCCCCCCTCAGCTAACTCCCTGCTCTCTCAGGTGATGGGGCGGCTGGCTTCCTAACAGGCAGTCTCAGAGGCATGGGGGTTTCACTGTGTCTCTGTGCAGGGGGCACCCACGTGTGTTAATACAAGACAACTCAGAGCTGACTCTTCTTGTAACATCCAGGAGCCTCTGTAGGGGCGGCACTGAGAACCCGAGCCTGCACAAGTGACATCATTTCTCCAGCTCCCACACCCAGCATTTCCTTACCCACGACCTCCAGTGGTCTGTGACACTCACACATGCAGGGGCTCACGCAACTCTTCTAGCAAAGGGGGACCACTCGGCCGGACACCTGGCCTGCATTTTATAATTTAACTCTCGCCACAACCCAGCAAGGTGGGTGTTGAGTCTCCCATTTTACAGATGGGTAAACTGAGGCTCTGAGACACTAACAGGCTTACTCATGCTCCTCGCTGTCCCACTGCATGGTCTCCTCTTGAGAAGGAGACCCTGGGAGGAAGAGGAGAAGCCCATCGCTGGCAGCTTCAGAACACCCACAGTGGTTGGGCCTCCTGGACCCCGCACCCATTCTGGGCCTTTCCCAAGTCCCGCGGAAGCTGCATGAATTCCACCGACCAGGCAGCCGTGCCCGGCGAGGCCCACTCCGCAGCGCCCAGAGGCAGTGTGTGCTGGAGAGGCAGGTGGGTTTAGGATCAGACAGGCCTGGGTTCAAATCTCCTGCCAGGTAGCTGTTCTTTATCTCTTGAAGCCTCAGATTACTCATCTCTAAAATGGGCACGATGAGAGTGTTTACCTTGCAGGGCTTCTGTGAGGATTAGAAATCCCAATGGAAGGGCTGGCACTAGTCCCTGGGTCATGAGACAGCCCTGACGCCAGCCACAAACATCACAGAAGGCGCCTCAACAGGCTTCCAGGGATTTTGTTTGCATGTAATCCATGTATTTCCTGTTCCGGGGGAAGTGCTTTCCCAACAGAGAATGAAAATCACTAGCAGAGGTGAAAGCAGCTCTGGAATAGGCACCCCCACCCAAGTGGTCTGTCCCGCATCTTTCTAACCCTGGGGGTCTGAGCCCAGTGGCAGGGGGCACGGCTCGAGCAGGGTGTGGAGGCATGTGCTGGGCTGGGAGGGGCTCAAGGGTGCATGCTGCTGCCGGAGGGGTTGGGGGTGGGGCGGCGGGCAGGGGGGGTGTGCCAACCCAGCTGTGTTTTAAGAAGAGAATTCAGGCCTCAGTAAGGGTGGTGGCTGTGCAGATGGGACGAAGGCGCTGGCTGGGGACTGCTGTGCAGGGCAGGTTAGAAGTGATGGGAAGGCTGGTCGAGGGACCGAAGTGGAGAGAGGAAGGTCCGGGACCCCGGCTGTGTGGCTCTCAGGGCCTCAGTTTCTCCTTCTGTAAAGTGGGAATAACAGCACTGCCTACCTCATAGGGCTACGGAATGAGCTGTGTGGGGAGCGTGATGTGAATGTAGCCGTTAGCCTGGGAGGCCTTCGGGGAGCTGAGTGGCCGGCTCACTGTCTCCCTGAAGGAGGAACCTCAGATGACACGAGGCTCTCTTTTTCCTTCCTCCTCACCCTCTCGGTCTCCTGCCTCCCCTCCTGGGAAGCCACCTTAGCAGTTACTGCTGTTCTCCCGCTGCCCGGGTCCAGGCAAGTGACACTTTCAAAGAAATCCCCCAGAAATTCCTGCAGGTGCCATTCTAGGAGCAGCCTGGGAGGGAGGAAACCAGGGCTGCCAGTATTATTACTAACAACAACAATGACGCCGACCATTCGATGCACACCCTCCAAGAGTGTTCCTGGACCATTTGATTTAACTAGGTCTTGATCCAGGGCTTAGCACATAGTAGGTACTCAGTTGGTATCTGTTGAATGAATGGGTGAAGGAATGAGCAACTACCAGGGATATGCCCCACACTGTGCTAAGAACTTAACAAACATTTTCATGGTTTTTCACATTTAATATCTTCCACCGCCCTATGAAGTGGGTATTATTCCCATTTCACAGACAAGGAAACCGAGGCTCAGAGGCCCAAAGCCACCCAGCTAGCCAACAGCAGGGCCAGGTTTCCCACCTCAGCCTTTCCCACGGCCGAGCCTGTCTCATCACACCCATGCTGTTAGGCACCCATGGAGGGAGGCTTGGCTGCAACCACGAACCAGGTCTGGGTCATGAAGTCCAGGGTCTAGCCTTGCTTCCGGGGCGCACGTGCTGTGTGATCTTAGGCAAATCACAAACCCTCTCTGAGCTTCTAGTGCCTCAGTGATAATACTTTCTCTGTGGTGAGGCCCCCAGGGAACTCCCGCTTGTACCTGGCAAAGACCCCACTGCCCTGAGTCTGGGCACCTCCCAGAGCCACTCAGGTCTTCCCTTTCCAGCCTCTCCCCCGGCAACAGCTGCTGAGGCTGGAGCCCGAGCCAACCCCACAACCCGTGTCAGCAGAACCTGTTCACGAAGCATCACCGGACCTGCTCCCCGCCCCCAGGGTGTCCCCTGCTCACCCGCAGACATCTAGCTGCGTCTCAGTGCCCAGCACACACACGGCGTAGGTGGGCTGCTCTGGGGCCACGTGGATCACCGTCCCCTGGGCCATGATCCGGCCAGCTCGTCCCTGAGGCTGCAGGAAGCCCCTGGCTGGTTCCTTTGTACTGCCCTGCGGAGGCCATGAGTCAGCACCTGCGGTGTGTGCTCAGGGGCGAGCCCCTCCCCACTCAGGTCCGAGGCTGGCCCTCTCAGGCCCTCCTCTGCCCTGGATCTGCCCCTTGACCCCTTGGGTGTCGGTGCCAGAATCAGTGGCAGGCTGGCTCCGTCAGTTTCCCAGGGAGGGCAGAGGGCTCAGGACGCCTGGAGGTGGGATCACAGGTCTGGGTCCTCATGTCCGTAGCCCCCCGCACCACCCCCCCCGCCTGGGGCGGTGAACACCTGGGTGCAGCCAATCTTGCCTAACTATGCCCAGCTGGGCTCCCAGAGAGGCTCAGGCTAGAACAGGGGGAGGTTTCAAGATTTTAGGAAACAGGTCACAGCCCGGGCTACACATGCAAAGACCAGCCTGGCGTGGGGCAGGTCTCCCCCAGCTGGGTCACCCACATGGGTGCTGTCTACGTGCGGGGCGCCTTGCCCTGCACTTGACGTGGAATAGCTCACGGAGACAGCTGCGTGACAGGTGCTGCTACTCCCTCATCTCATTCTCACGGCGGCTCTCAGCCGTCAGGACGTTCTTATTCCCACTTTACAGAAGCAGCAGCTCAGACAGGGTGAGCGGCTAGGCAGCAGTTCTCAACCTGTGGGTCGCGACCCCTTTGGCGGTCGAACGACCCTTTCACAGGGGTCGCCTAAGACCATCCTGCATATTAGATATTTACATGATGATTCATAAAAGTAGCAACATGACAGTTATGAAGTAGCAACGAAAATAATCTTATGGTTGGGTCATAACATGAGGAACTGTATTTAAAGGGCCAGAAGGTTGAGAACCACTGAGCTAGAGGCAGAGCCAGCATTTGGACTAAACATCCTGCTCTGAGTATGAGACATATTAGCTGCTTGCCCGCATGGCATGGGCTTTTCTGATTGTATATAACATCTACTTTTGTTGTTGTTAATCCTCACCTGAGGATATTTTTCCATTGATTTCTAGAGAGAGTGGAAGGGAGGGGGAGAGACAGAGAGAGAGAGAAACATCAATGTGAGAGACACATGGATTGGTGGCCGGGGATCAAGCCTGCAACCAAGGTACGTGCCCTTGACCAGAATCGAACCCGGGATCCTTCAGTCCACAGGGTGACACTCTAGCCACTGAGCCAAACCAGCTAGGGCTGTAACATCTACTTCTTACTGCAGTACAAGGTATATAGGAGCTGATTGTGACTACCTACCCATTTTATAGAAGGGAAAATAGAGGCTCAGAGAAGAAAGGTGACATGCCCAAGGTGCCACAGCTAGCGTGTGGCAGAGCGGGAAGCCAGCGTTCCCTGCACATTGCTGTCTGGCTGTCAGACTAGACATTGCAGGTGGGTCACATCTGCCAATGGCACACTCACTCGACCCCAGAGCTGTGCTTGCACATGGGCCAGTGGTGGGAGAGATGGGTGGATGGGCAGTTCCAGCAGGGAGCACCCAAAGGAGGCATCATACCTGGGGATCCGGAGGCAGTGGGGTTAGGCAGGCCTGAGTTCCAATCCTGCTTCCTGCAGCATCCCCACGAGGTGGGTCCCAGCATGATGCCCACGTTATAGATGAGGCTTCCGAGGCTCAGAGAAGCTAAATGATACTCCCTAGACCCCACAGCCCCTAACATGGGTCCCAGGATCCAAAACCGCCTTCTCCAGGCTCAAATTCCATTTTCTGTGCCAGCAGCTGCCATGGCCAGACCTGGTACCTTGATGCATCCACAGGACTGCTTGCACACAGTAGGTCTAACAAACCCCATTTTTGTGGCTGGTCATATGACTAGGCCTAGTTTGAGCTTCTAATGGAGGCTGGAGGAGGGCACCGTCAATTGTCAGCGTTAGGGGCCCTCAGAGCACACCAAGTCCAGGCCAAGTTCTGTGGATGGGAGACGAGGCACAGAGAGGGTGTGTGACACGCCCGCGGTCACACAGCAAGTCAGCAGGAGGCCTGGGCTCTACCCCAAGGCCGAGGTTCCTTGGGGGTCATTTCCTTTTTTCTTTCTTCCCTTTTTATCTTCAGCAAGTTGAAGGTTAAATCAGCTGTGAATAAGCCACAAAGAGAAAAAAAACCAAAGCAGGTTTGTTAATTCAACACATATTTATCGTGTGCCTACTGTGTGCCAGGCACTGTTCTAACCACGGTGGGTACAAAGTGACCAAAACAGACCAACACCCTGCCTTCATGGAGTTCCTTTTTCGAGGAGAAAGAGGCAGCTAATAAACAGTGAACGTATAAGGGAATATAGTCTGTTGGCTTTATGAAAAATGGCTCTTACCCTGCTTGACTTTTCATTTTTTCAGAGGTATAACTTGAACCCAGGAAAACCATCACCCTTCCAACACAAAGACCCTCCAAGCCTCTCCATAACATCAGGTAGGAAGTTGGGAGTGTGTCGAGATTGTCCACATGTTTTCACATTTTAAGCAAGCGTATGTCAGTCTCTCTCTCTCTCTCTCTCTCTCTCTCTCTCTCCCCCTCCCCAAATAAACATTTGCCTGAATAGAATTACTTCCTTGATCATTTTCCTAAAGGTAGAATTTCTAATATTTGAAACTGCTTTCCAGAGGTTTACTGCTCACGTCACCCTGGCCCTCCCAGCAGTGAGTTTTCGTGTCTACTACTTTGATCGTGGTATTTGGTGTTTATTTAGTTCCTAATGGTCCCTATGCTGGCCATTCTGCTGCTGATGTTACCTTAGGGCCGCTTTGATCAGGAGGGATGTTACGGAGGGAAAGGGCCAGAGCCGGTGTGTGGGGCCTGGCAGGCAGTTCGGGACTTGCTTTTTCTGGTTGGCTATGGTTACATCTCTCCTGCGGCAACTTGAAGTTGGAACTGGAGCTCTGTTAAGACAACATTGCCACGCAAACTTGAACGTAGGCCTGGTTTAAAATAACACTGACACCCTGCATTCTCCGCTGCCAGGCTGCGGGGAGGACTCTTCCCGGATTTGTTTGCTGGATGGGTTTACAGAGGTCTTGGCGGAGCGTGCCTGCTCCTCCCGGTGCCGCGGGCCTCCCTGGGCCCCACCGGGAGGTAGCCAGGCATCTTCGGCTGCCATGCCACGGGCCTCCCTGGGCCCCTCCTCACCGGGAGGTAGCCAGGCATCTTCGGCTGCCACTCCAGGGCCCTGTGGGTTTGCATGAACATGCCTCTGGGCCCGGTAAGGCCAGAGCCCTCAGATGACGAGGGTGCAGGATGACGAGGCGGGGGGCGGTCACACACCCTCGCGTTGTCGTGCTCTCCTCGTTTTCATTGACCGGGCGCCGAATGGCCACAGCATTGTGTTTCTGCAACACCCCTCTGTGCAGTTCCCTGAGCCCTTGCTGGGTGCCAGCTATCTCCCAGGCCTGGAGGAACCAGATCTTGATTGTGCTGGGATGTTCTGACTTCGACGTTGGTCTCCCAACTTAGGGATTCCTTACGTGCCTTTGTGCAAGGAATATTAGGATCCTGTTGTCTGTGTTCCCAACCAGTAACAGTGACTACGGGACCCTGAGCCCTGGGCAGGGTCCAGGCGCAGCTGCTGACACGCACCATCTCACCAGACCCTCTCCTCAACCCCACGGGGAAGGGAGGATTAATCTCATTCTGTAGGCAAGGAAATGGCGGCTCAGAGAGGGTGAATGACTAGAATAAGACCACACAGCTGGCAGTGAAAGAAGTCAGGGTTTGCACCCAGATCGAGCTGACGGCAAAGCCCTAACCACAAGGCTTTACCAGCCGATTGGGGAGGGGGGAATAAAAGACCCCAGACCCCCCAGGCTTCTGACTCAGGCTCATTCAACAGACATCTGCTGCGTGCCCCTCTGTGCCAGGCGTGGTGCCAGGTATCAGGGACACAGAAGACAGATGTGTCATCGTCAAAGAACACAACACGAAGATCAAAGAAACGGAAGTCATAGGAGTCAACTCTCTCTCTAAGAATGTGTACGTCTGTGTTCCAATGTATAGATCCTCCGAGGGCGATTTCAAGGGATTGGCTCACAGGATGTGGAGGCTGGGGGTGGGGGGCAGGCAGGCAGAGACCCCGGAAGAGCTGATGTTGCAGCCCAAGCCTGAAGCTGCCTGTGGAAGAACCCCCTCGGCCCTGGAGGACGTCCAGTCGTTGCTCTTAGCCCTTCAACTGGTTGGACGAGGCCCACCCACACGGTGGCGTCCACCGAGTTAAGTGTGAGTCTCATCTCAGAAGCACCTTCCCCGCAACGTGCAGGCTGCTGTTTGACCGCATATCGGAGTGCCCTGGCCTGGCCAAGCGGACACGTAAAACCAGCTGTCCCAGAACACGCAGCTCGCAGGAGGTGCTCTTAACTCTTTGGCGTCACTCACCCTTTTGAGCACTTAAAGGGAGCAATAGAGATGCCCGTGGCGTTCCGTTCCTTGTGGATGGGGAAACTGAGGCTCGGGAGGGAGCTGTCGCTGGCCTAGGTCACGGGCAAGGTGGTGCAGAATCAAAACAAGTCTCTCCTCACTCTCCACGCGCATTCTCCGTCTCCTGGGGTTTTCAGTCTGGGACGCCCAAGGGAAGACTCGGAGGCGAGAGTCTGAGTGGACATAGTTTATCTGGGAGGCAGAGAAGGCAGTGTGAGCTGGTGACCACCATAACCCACAGGGGGGCACTAGAGAGTGGGGTGGGGCTGCACCCCAGAGCGAGCTGAGCCCCGGAGCAGGGGAGCTGGGCATTTACACCGCCCCCCATCATTGCTGAGGGCTGCTCCTGGGGACATATTCCCTGGCACTTTGGTTGGCAGGCTCTGGAGGAAGAGAAACCTTGGGCAGGTGCTGGTGCTGGGTCAGGGTCCCCGGAACTGAGGAGGGAGGCAATGGGGGACACTGACAGCATCTGTCATAGGACGGGAGGGGCGTCCCCAACCTTCAAGGAGCCGAAGGCAGCTGAGGCCACATTCTCCCTGAAAAATGCACATGAAACATTTGCATGTAGTTTGATGAGTTCGCTGACCATG